GGGTGGGGTGGTGTTTGGGTGTGGGGGATGGAGGGGGTGGGATGGTGTTTTGGTGTGGGGGATTAAGGGGGAGTAATTCTATCAACATTGTTCCGCCCACTGGACTATTATCATCCAGTTTTTTTCCTCTTCTTTTCCTTTGACTCACCTCCTATAATTATATATCTAATATGTATATATTATCTAAAAACTCATTTTTTGCTGGATTTTTTCCTAAAACGTTAATAATAAGCACACAAAAATGTAAATTTTCAGTTTCCAAGGGCATGCAAGCTGTGGAACTTAGCAAACTTTGGCGGCGATTTTCTCGCTAGTTCTTACCTCTGACACCAGGCAACCCCAACTCCTTCCATTGCAAATATCTCAATTTCTTTCCAAGATAGATGGGTATTGTTATATGTAAGACAGACACATAGACAAGCTTTACAGCTTATCTCGCTTATCAGTTAATCAAATTTTACCAAATTTCACACATAATATGACAAGCAACTATACATAATGGCGTCGGTGGCTTAGTGGTCAGGATCTCGGGCTCGCAACCGTAAGGTCGTGGGTTCGAATCCCATCAGGGACCCGACGTTGTGTCCTTGGGAAAGGCCCTTTGCACAAATTTTCCTCACTTCACCCAGGTGGGAATGTGTACCCGGCTATAGACAGTGAACGATCTTGTCAGTTTGATAGCGTTTGAGCGCGTGAAGTCCTCAGCTTGCACTCTATGCTTCCGCAGAAGCCGAGAATGTTTCTGAGTGTTCTCAGTGGGTCTGCTGGGGGTAATAATAGCTGTAAAGCGTATAGAACATGCAAGAGCATGGATATGCGCTATATAAATGCAATTATTATTATTACTATTTATTGAGAAAATCTTTCACTTTGGCAGCCTAAAACTTCCCTACCGTTTAACATTCGTGAAAATAATAGTGGTTCAGAATCATTCAAAGAGAGCACAGTTTTATTGATGAGTCTGAAGTCACTGTAGTTTAATTTTCAGTTTTTCATTAGTTTTCATCTTGGGAAACTTCGTGAGGTTTCCGTTCACTAGCCGTGCACATTACTGATTCCACACCTTTGAATTTCTGGAGTGTACAACCGCGAAAGCCGAATAGAGAATCAATCTGTACATTTCTATGTGGGTGGTTGGCGGGTGCTCTGGTGTGGTTTGCTTCTTTTTTTCCTATCGAACATCTATCGTCCTTATCTCCCATTCTTATTTTTTATGTCTTTTTACTTTCCTTCCTTCCTCTGCCTGGCCTCCGTTAGGAGACGTCCACAGTACATCCTGTTTGTTTTTGTAAAGTGCTTTACGGCGCTCGCAACTGCATAAGGTCATATAAGCGTGCGGGACACACCTAATATTTTCAGTTGGTAGGAAATTTGGAACTTTGCCCGGGTGGCGGCCGAAGCCTACTCTTATCGATTTTAGACCACCAAGGGATCTTTAACGTGCGCAACTTGCACACGGGCCCTCCGAGATTTT